ACACACACACACACACACACACCAAAGAATATAGACTAATAACATGCAAAAAATAGACAAATTCACTTACTTCTAAAAAGTTTCCTGGCTTTCTAACTATGCAACAAGAGCCATTAGAAATTCATCCAAGCTAGTTGTTAACTTTTCCACGGGAACGATGTTGCTACTCAGTGACATTGATGTTTATCTGTTGAAAACACAATGTTATACAATATGCCATTTGATAGATGAAAACTTTGACTTTCTATTGGTTATAAATAATATATAATGAAACTTAAGAGAGAACTATCACCCAATTGTGAAAGAGAGGATGTGGCAGGAGGGGTCTCATTTTCTTTTTAATAGCTCTGTAACAAAATAAAATTGAAGGCCATAAAAATTATGGTCTGTTTGAACAATAATGATTTTATAGAGAGCATTTTTCGAGGGGTGGTGGATAAAATATGGATGATGACATACTAAGACAAAATTTGTCATGTGTTACACTAGTGAAAATTCAGGATTTTTTTTTATATATTTCCTTTTAGAATTAAGAACTTAAAACTTGTATACTATTAAAATATGGATTATTAGCTAAGATTTTATGCTATTCTAATTCGTATAACATAAACAAAAAGTAGTTTAATAAAATTTTGAATGTGAGACACTAAAACCTTGTGTCATGTGCAGTAAAGGGTATCGTACCAATAGGGTTAAATATATTTCAAATGTTTGTTTTCAGTAGAACTATTTTACCTGTTATTTTCTCTACCCTAACTTTATACAAGGTTTGTCAAATTGACCAACCTTGTAACCACTGAAAAAAAATTGAAATAAATCTAAATTACCCTTTTTTTCTTTCTGGAATGACTTCAAATTGTAACATGAAACTATTTGTTTATTCTAAGTAGCTCTAAACTCATAACAGTATACATTTAATTACACATAAATTTTATTGTTTAATTGCCCTTTGAACTGTGTCTGACTGTTCTTCTTGCCATTATAAGCTGTAAATCACTTGGGGAATGTGGGGCTTGTTACGCTATTGAAGTACATTACCCATGAACTGCTTGTATGCATGCCTTGTGAAAAAAGTTTTTATTATATTGCTTATTTTACCTAATCTAGCCTTAATTAACCCAAAAAAAGTTTCCTATTTTTACATTTTTGATACTTTTAGAAAAATAAAGAATACACATGAGAAACAAGAAATAAAGTACTTACCTGGGCCTTCTTTTTTTCTTTTTGTCAACTGTTGATGTCACTTAACACTACTTTTTATACTAATGGTAGTAGTGCACTTAATAATTTTAATTTAATTGAACAATGCACCAAAGAACATATGATAATAATAATAATAATATGCAAAAAGCAGACAATGTCCCATAACTATCACAGTTTTTCTGGCTTTCTAACTTTGCTAGAAAAGCTGTTAAAAATTCATCCAAGCTAGTTGACGTGCTTCCCATGAGAAGGAAAGTTGTACTAAAAGAGAATTTGACATTTCTCTAAACAGAAAACAATGTAATTTAATAAAGCATTTGATAGATGTAAACCTTGGCTTTCTATTTGTTATAATTGATATTGTATTAAATATAAGACAACTGAAAGTGAGAATGTGACAGGTGGGTGTAGCAAGATGGGTATGATTTTGTATTTGATGGCTCTATAACCAAACAAGATTGAAGGCTATAAAAATTATGGTTTGTCTGAGCAATGATGTTTTTATAGTGAGTAATTTACATTGAATTTTGTATTTATTGGAGGGGTGGTGGATAAAATAGAAAAGAGGATATGCCCAGAGAAAATGTCACATAAGGGGAAGTTTAGGATTTAAAAAAAATATTATTTTATAAAATTAAGAAATTAAAACTTGTATGCTATTAAAATATGGATTATTAGATAAGATTTTATAATATACTAATTGGTATAACATAAACAAAAAGTAGTTTAATTAAGTTTTTGAATGTAAGTCACTGAAAACCTTGTGACATGCTCAGTAAAGGATGTCCATGGTGAGAGGATTAAAGGTATTTTCCAGGCACTTCAATGCCCACAAAGTTTGTCCTCATCAGCTGTGGCTTTGATAAGATTTATGAACATCTCTGTGTCATTGCACCCAGTTGCTCACCCTATGAGGGGTGATTGCATCTTGCTTTTGATTTTAGCTTTACTAGAGCCTTTGCTATGTACACTAAAGTGTTGTCAGCAAAGGTTAGCACCCAACATCTGGTTATACTGTCAAGGTGAACTAGATCCATGATGAAGATGAGTTTTTTCAAGGAGTATATCATAAAATTCAGAGCTTCTCAAGGCAGTATTTTCTTCCCTGGATTCCCCTGATATTGCAGTAACTTAACATTATGCAAGACTTGGAGTTTTTTGGTTCACTTTCTGTGCATGTTTCATTTACCAGCTCGGTGTTTTAGATCTCAGTTTTCCTGTTTTCTTTCTCCTGCTGGTACCTCCTCCAGTACCTAGTCCATGGGCTTCATTACTACTGATTTTTTATGTATTATATCTGGTTTAAAAAATGAGCTACAATGTGAGTGTTAAATCTGAACTAATTGACTTAATTTGGGTATTTAATGGTTACAGGGTTAATTAATTGTTTATATGAATGGTGGAATGATAATTAGGAATGTGAACTTGAATATTAAAGGTAACAAGTATAAGCTTTCCATCCCCAGATCTAAACTTCTTTTTTGGTAAAATAATTTTTGTTAATTGTAAACTGGTTATGTAATGTGTGTGATGTTGTGATGCTGTTAATTAAATGAATTAAAACTTTAGTACAATCAGTATGTAAATATCTATTCATATGTAGTTTGGTTTGATGCTTTGCTTGGTGGGAGAACAACATTGAAAGCTAAAAGGCCTATCATCGCTAATCATTTATAGGTTCACTACTGTAGTGTGTTTTGACACAAACCTGTATGTAATAGTAAGTAGCTGAGAAATCATTTTGTGAAATAAGGAATATTTTACTCAAAAATGCCATTATGCAATAAACAATTAATAGTTTTTATGTAAAACAGTGAAATTACTGATTTTAATAGAATCATAAATATGTGCATTAACTGTACTTTTATTTGCTAGTATCACCATTTTAATCAGAAACCAATATTAGCCATCTGTGAATAAATACATTTGTACATGAAACATCAGTAGTTCATTAAAACCTCAAATGGACACTTGAATTTTTGGGGAAAACAGAAAAATTTACTTCTTCAGTTTTTCTCTTTAACTGAAAAACTTTAAGCAAGTCCATCATTATGAATTAGTTTAAAAATATTATATAAATACTGCTAAAAGCAGTTGTCAAACAAAAACATTTGCCTTTTAAATCTTAAAAATATATATTGTGTAAACAATATTTTGTTTGTGTAAAATTTATAGTTATAATTTTAGTTTGAAATCAGTTTCTAGTTAAACTTTTCATGTGTTGAAGATACTTTGGTATGTTTTTCATTTTTGATTGCCTTTTAGTTACTTTCCTAAAAGGAAGTCCTGTTTGGAAAAAGAATCAACCTGGAATGGACATATAGCCAGGAGGTTATTTATGGATTGATTAGTTACGTGAGCACAAATTTATACAGTTCATGATTATAATACCTACTTTTTTGATCAATTAGAATATCTTGAAGATGAAATTATAAGTGAAGATGGAGATGAAGAAGCAGAGGAAGAAGAAGTATCACCTGAATTAACAGGCAAAAAAAGAAAGGAAAAAAAGCTATTGGATTACCAAAAAAGGTTTATCTTTTTTAAATTTATTCAGCTAGTGAAGATGTGAAAATTAATGAAACAATGAATTTAGGGCAGAAAAATGTAAATAAAATCAATGTATTCTAAGTTATTTATCTAGTGTCAAAGGTAGGTTTATTTACATAAAGCAAAGTCAATGTCAAACAAACTTGTCAGCTTATTTAAGTTGCCAAGTGCACTTGCTGCAAATATATAGAGGTCTACAGTTCTCTCGCATTGTAATGGTAAGGATGATGAACTACAGAAGTCTAAGGCAATTCCACCTTCCCCTTCTGATGGTACAAAAGCATTATATACTAGTCATACTACTAATTATAAAGACTTGCATTACATTCATAATTTCACTTTGAGGAAACATATTTTGGGAAAGCAATAATAAAACCTGAAATTCTTAATTATGAAGGCTAGTTCTCAATTAAAATATTGTAAAATTAGACAATAGTGTTTGTTTTTAATATTTTGTGGTATTTTTTCTTAATGTTGCACAACTAAATAAGCTGTTAATTTTTTTATTTCAGGTCTTTAATTTCAGTATGAGTAATTTTATGTATTTTAGGACTAT